GAAAATCGCAAATATATCTTCTAAATGGAAAGGTCATTCTTCCAATTTGCTCTTATCCATTCTCTGCTCATCTCCTTCGAGAACAACCATGGAACCTACACCCCAAGTGCCCAACAATAATGCAGGTATTTTCGGAAGAAACATTCATTTAGATGGAGTAAATTTTCATATTATTGATTATTACTTATTTTTGTTGGAGGTTGGAAAGTCATCAACTTTTTCATTTATGCAGAAAGGAAATCAACATCAATCTAAATTAAAAAGTCATCAAATTTTTTCCTGAACAAGCTGCAATAGATTAATTAGGTCAGCACTGAATGTACATCAATTTGTGTTAAAACTTTAAGCGGAATACGACTTTTTCCGGTGTTTTAACTTTTAATTCCGTATACGTGGTTCTTACTTTAGAAGGGAGGTTAGGAAAGAGTATATAGGAACTAGGGGTTCACGGTTTGGCTCTAACCGGTGGAATCGTCCAATCCGGACATCGCTTCGGATTAACGGGCGGATTATAATTATATTTTTAAACCGGCGGATTAAAAAATTGAAAACCGATCAATCCGGTCCGGATTACGGTTTGGCACTATCAAACCGTCTGTCAATCCGGACCGAACCGTATATATATATTATAAAAGAATAATATATTGGTTTTGTGTATATAGTGTCGGATAGAGACTTATATTGAAAGTGATAAGTTGTCCCATTGGTATTGTTGATGTTCACTCTACACTAGACCTTGGTGAAGGTCGTGTGTTCGAATTCCCCATGGACTATTTTTTTTTTCAAGAAAAGCCTCCAAAAAAAAGGCCAAAAAAATTCAGAAAAAGCTCCCAAAAAAGGTCCAACAACAAAAAATGTTTAATTTTTTGCCCAAAATGAAAAAACCCAATCAGAAGTCCAATCCGCCAATCCACCCAAACCAAACCGTAAAAAACGGATTGGATTGGTCCGGATTATATACCAATCCAGTCTGGTTACGGATTGAAATTTTTTCAAACCGTAATGAACGGTTTGGTTACGGATTGCTATCAATCCGGACCAATTTAGACCGTGAACACCCCTAATAGGAATTTTCTTTCGCTTTAAAATACTCATATCAATTTGCATGTAACTATATGACTCTTAGTATATTCCCTTCGAGGGAACAATTATTTTTGGGATCTGAAGAATGCAACTTATCCATTTTAACTTTTTTTTTTTTAAAAAAAGACCTCTTAATATTTATATCGCTATTTTTTTTTATTTGTTATATCTAAGATAAACATGGTTGCATTAGTACAACAAGTGTTTACATGTTAATTGATCTATCATGATCACTATTTAGCCTTTAAACAATCCAAATTAGTTAATAACTTAATAAATTGTATAAATATGTTTTTAAGGTAATAATCGATTACTATTAGGGTAATCAAATTAAATGCAATGAACTTTATCCAAATCCCAATGAACCTTTTCAAATTATGATTCACTTGTCACATTATACGTAAATTAATTTTTCAAGATCATTTTCAATCCCTATTTGTGAAAATAGACGATATGCCTTCCAACAGGATTCTTTTTTCTCACGGTATCATATTTTTTTTCAGTTTTATTTATCTCTTATTAAAAAGAAATTACTTCACTTCATATACGTGCAAATGTCGGATCCATAAACTAGTCCCTTTTATATATATATATATATATATATATATATCCTATTAAAGCAGAAGACATGAAGCTTACGTGGTAACTACGTATGCATCTGTTTTGGCTCCAATGCATTATATTTTAGATTTGAGAAGTCTTTTTGCCATGTGTAAGTCTCTTTTAATTAGAAGCTATATAATTTTTTTTAAAAAAAAAACACATGTTTTACTACAAATAAGGATCAGTTACATTTCAAACGAATGGATATATTAATTCAAATTCAAATGTCCAATCGTATAGTTTTGCAGGCTTAATATAAACAAAAATAAAAATACCTAAATCCAAAGCAATTAAGAATAATGCCTTATAAACTAATTATTTATTATTCCCTTATAACCTCAGATTTATAGGTATATTTTTTTAAGCCCCAAACCATAGCATAAATGATATACGCCAAATTAATTCCTTAAAAAATAGTAATTCAATTAGATTTTAATAAAATAATAATTTAGAAGGGGCGCTCGGGTATCTGTCCGGGCCAAACATCTAGTTTTTATTAAAGAAACAAAAAACACAAAAGGATGCGGGCCAAGATGACCCGCTTTGAAGACTCGCGGGTCACCTCATAACCCGGAATCCCAACCCGCAAGTTTATGTAAAAGGGCTATACTCCCTCGCGTAATGCACGGGAGCCAAAAAAGCAAAATTAATGCCTATTTCTGCTTTGAAGACTTGCGGGTCACCTTATAACCCGGAATCCCGACCCGCGAGATTTTTTAAAAGTGCAGTACACTTTCGCGCCAGCACGGGCGATCAGCAGCCAAAAAAAAAAGAGCCTATTTTTGATATTACCGTTGTGCCCCTAATTTCAAAAGTGATGAAAGTCTTATGTCATATAATAACCGTCTGGCCAATCATATTTGAAGAATAAACCGTCCAACCAATCAGATTTTAGGAATTTTTTTGGCTCACCCAGACTTTAATCGTTATAGATTAAACGTAAATTCTTTTTTTTTTTTAAATTTGGTAATCATCTCCTATTTTAGCCAGATTAATGTTTTCAATTTTTTTTTATGAGAATTGGTGATATATTTACCAGCTTGCCATGAAATTTATTACATTCTTAATGAAAATTATCACCATGAAATTTGTAATTTGTAGCATCAACGTTAATAATATTTACTATGAAAATTGATGATTTTATTCATGAAATTTGGAGTTAAAAAAGATGAGTGTTTATCTAAAAAAAAAAAAAAGCACATACATCCTCCACATTTTATGATAAAAATTAATTTTCATACAAAAAAAAAAATCAAATTTCACGAAAAAACTTGTGAATTCATAAAGAAAAATACAGATTTTCATATTTTAGGAAGTCTATTTCTTGATTACGGTTGTAGATTTTCATGAAAAAGTGCCTATTCTATATACTCTACACTAGATGTTTGGCCCAGGCAGATGTCCGGGCACCCTTTCTAAATTACTATTTTATTAAAATCTAATTGAATTACTATTTTTTGAGAAATTAATTTGACGTATATATCATTTATGCTATGGTTTGGGGCTTAAAAAAATATACCTATAAATCTGAGGTTATAAGGGAATAATAAATAATTAGTTTATAATGCATTATTCTTAATTACTGGATTTAAGTTTTTTTATTTTTTGTTTATATTAAGCCTGCAAAACTGTACGATTGGACATTTGAATTTGAATTAATATATCCATTCGTTTGAAATGTAACTGATTTTTATTTTGTAGAATTTTTTCATTGGATAAGTATCACATCTAAAACATGTGTTTTTTTTTTAAAAAAAGAATTATATAGCTTCTAATTAAAAGAGACTTACACGTGGCAAAAAGACTCCTAAAATCTGAAATATGGTGCATTGGAGCCAAAACAAATGCATACGTAATTGCCACATAAGCTTCATGTCTTCTACTTTAATAGGGTAAAAGGGATAAGTGTCACATCTAAAACATGTGTTTTTTTTTAAAAAAAGAATTATATAGCTTCTAATCAAAAGAGACTTACAAGTGACAAAAAGACTCCTGAAATCTGAAATATGGTGCATTGGAGCCAAAACAGATGCATACGTAATTGCCACATAAGCTTCATGTCTTCTACTTTAATAGGGTAAAAGGGATTACAAATTTCACGACAACAATAATATTATTTTGTTTAAAATACTATCCAAACAACTTTTTAAATTTTTTACATTTTAAATCTTCTCTTAAATCCAAATAAAAAACAAAAACAAAAAGTAGTCCAAACAAACCAACCACAAGTATCCTATAGTTTATGACAAAAATTAGCAATTTTGATGATAATAATTTATAATTGTTAGTATAGATGAATTATGAATTTTTACAAATAGTATGAAAAAATAAACAATATAGGTATGAATTGGTGATATGGAATGTATTTAAGGTATTTTAAATGTATTTTCAATGAGGCTGATAATAATATTTATAGCACCGTTAGATATAACACATACTATATTAATCGACCCAATCACCCACCCACCATGGACTTGGTATACTGTATAATCATAGTATGAAGCCTTTTTTTTTTTTAGAAATAAAGATAAATTCATTAATTTGCTAGAAATCGTCTACCAGCGATTGATAAAAATAAGATACAGCCATAAAAACACAACTTACAAATAATCACGATGCCATTGTTGTGTTTTACTACATGGATAAATTTATCCTGATCTACCTCATAAAATAATGGTTGTATCACGTGCCAGATTTTTAATCCGGTCAAGGATACAATACTAACCTTCAGTTGAAACCTCCAAATCATAAACCTAATAATAATTAGATCTACTATGACTGAATTTTCTTGGACCATGCCTGCCAAACCGACGAACACCTTTAATAAAGTCGTTGCCGCCGTATCTGCATACATTACCGACGAAACCATCGCCATACTAGCAAATATCAACAAGGATGCTGCCGCCGTACCTGCAAACATCGATAAAGATATTGCCGTCATACTGTAGATAATAATCTACAAGCCGTTTATTGAAACTAAATTAAAACACAATAAGAAACTTGAAAGATATTTGTAGAATTATTTCCCCCATCCTTCCATGACGGAAAGATGGGGGAAGATTGATTTTTTTTTTTTAGAGTTTGAGGGAGAGGGAGAGGGAGAGGGAGGCGGCAGAGAGGGAGGTGCGGTTATCATAGTATGCAGCCTTGGTACAAACTTATGTTACTTTCAACTCCCAAACCAATGATTCGATACCCATATTATTATTATTTTTTTTAAAAAAAGTTCCCTTTTCATTATGCCCGTAGAAGGTTTAATTATGGCTTTTTTTTTTTTTGGTGATGAAAAGTGAGAAGTGATTCACAAACACATTGACAGGAGCAAAACTGATTCAGATATCAGTAACTGATTACTTAACACAAATAATGCATTACCTACAAATAATATTGGTTGCCCAAAAATCCATTAAGAATTCCTGGTTTCTAAACCTTTTTCCACATCCCTCGTGTTAGGTTCATTAGAAATTATTCTACTGCCTGAGTGCAAATTCTCTTCAGCTGCAGTGGTGTTTGAAGCCACTCTAGGACTAGATACATATTTGCTGGCAAAGAAGCTATAGTATAAAAAATTAACTGCTCCTAAAGTTGCAATCATGTAATAGTAATAATCCAGCCTGTTCTTGTTTAGGTCATGACCCCCTAACCATGGTGATTTCCCACTCCTTGAAGTTGCACTGTGAATGATGTTCACAATGAGGGAACTCAGGTAGCTGGCACACGACAGGCTCAAGAAAAACACGGCGCCTGCGACGCTTCTCATGCTCTCTGGCATTCGTACAGTGAAGAATTCCATGATTGCGACAGCTGCAAAAGCTTCAGTTAGTCCTGACAGAACAAATTGAGGGAGAAGGTAACCAATGCTGAGAGGAGAAACTAGAGTGCCGTGTCTTAAGGCGCGTTCTCGCCTTTTTTTCTCGACAAGTCCAGCTGCAACCATGCATAAAAAAGACATCACAATTCCAATCCTGATCTTTTCTTTCATCTGTATTCTTGTGTCCTTTTTCATGATCTTTCTTGATTTCGGGAGGTAAAGGCGTTGGTAGATGAAAATCCAAAGAGACAATGCTATCATTGATGTGATCCCCATCCATGCTGGAGGGATCTTGAAATTGCCAACTGATTCATTCATTTGAATGGCTTGAAGAATCCCAAAAGTGTTCTGTTGATCTATGACTACAAAGCAACCAATCGCGGAGAACCATACCGGGAGGATCCCAACAAGGCATTTTAACTGTTCCACTTGTTGCAAGCTGCATAATCTCCAACTATTCAAAGCCATTCCATCAGAATCCAGTTCACTTGAGCTGATGATTACAGCAGCCTTATCTAGGCACTTAAATCTGTCCTTCATCACAAACTGACTCATTTGTGACTCCAATTGTTCATCTTTTGGAGGAATATTGTAGAAGGAATGATTACCTTCTCTCAAATTTACCTTGCTTTTCCTTATAGATGCATTGATCACCTTAACCATGTCTATAAAGATACTACCTTGAGGCTTCTTCATAATGTAAGTATGGCGACCAATCAGGAAGATGATGATTGAGAAGGTTAAACAGGCTGTGGGAATAGCAAATCCAATCACCCAACTGATGTTAGTCTGAATGTAGACAACACCCGTGAGCGCGATCAAGAGGGCAACAGTGAAGGAGAAGTACCACCAGTTGAAGAAGCTCTCCAAATGTGCTTTCCCTTTCTCTGTTCTGGTATTGAATTGATCAGCGCCGAAGGCGATATTGCAAGGCCTAATCCCACCTGCACCAATGGCCAGGAGAGCTAAACCTGTGAAAAGAACTCCAAGCTGCCATTTATGAGGTTCCTCGCAGATAGATGGCTCATGGCAAGGTGGTGGCCTTAGTTTAGGTATTGCTGCAGTTAAAGTAATTGTACCCATCCCCTGTTCCAAGGAAGCAGAATTAGTGATAATATTTATGATACAAATTTTCCGAAATGAGGAGACTAAGACTGTTTAACAACAAACCAAGAGAGAGGCTATGGAGCCTAAGAAAAGAGTGATGAATCTTCCAAGATATGCATCAGACATAACCGCCCCGGCAATGGATGAAATGTTGGAAGAGCCAGACCAGATAGTAACCACATTGACTAGAAATATGCCCTCCAAGTTGTACTTTGAGCGCAGATATAGAGTCAAATTAGCTATCAAGCTCATCGAAGCCAACTTCTCAAATGATTCATTACCTTTTTCAAACAAAACCAAAAGGGAAAAAGAAAGGCATATGTCAGAAATAGTTGTCAGTTAGTACTGTGATGCCTCAAATATATTCTTCATCTTAATGATATCAACACAAATAATTTTGTCTGATTGAAACTCAAGCTGTCTCAGTTAAAGCCAACTGGTTAAGCCCTGATCCTAATTATCGAACCAGAAAAGGAAGGTTCAAATCATTTCTACCTCAAATTTTTTTATTTGTTTTAGTTTTTTTATTTTTGGTGCTAACTTATAAACACACATTGCCGTGTTCTATTGCAGTTGGCGAATAGAAACGCCAACCTTATCTTATTCTGTGGGGTCGATTATATGAATCATATGCTGCCATTACACCTCATCAAAACATACTTTTTTTTCGTACGTTGGTGCATGAATATATGTTATTAAAATTTCCTTCTTGAATGCATGATAAGGTCAAAACATGACCAGGTAAAAAAAAAAAAAAAAAGGCATGGATGGATTCATAAGACATAAACTGTGCATGGAAGGAAAAACAAAAACCCTTTTGAAAATGTATACCAAGAATGTATTTGATGGCTCTCCAGCCTCCAGGGGATTTCGATTTTGTCGAAGGCGGAACAGAACCTTCTTCATTTTCGACAGAAAGCGGAGGAGGAGGAGGAGGAGAGGAAAGGCTTGTGATTGTGGCATCCAAAGACATTTGATGCTGATGATGATGATGATGATGATGAGGATGATTCTCCTCCTCCTCTTCTTCTTCTTCCTTCTCCTCCTTTCTATTTCCTCTGGTAAACTCTTCCTGTTTCTTCCACATAAGCCGGTTTGAAGAACAAAGCCAACCATTTGCATTTTCTTCTTTATATTTAAAGCTGATGAAAAACCCCTCCGAATTTTGAGTTAGTCTTGGTAAGAAGAAGGAAAAAAACAAGAGGTCTAGAAGCCAAGTAGTCAATCAGATTTATTGAATTAGTTAAAAAAAAAATGTGAGAAACAGCTATTTGGTAAAAAAAAAAAAAAAAGAGAGAAAAGATTTTGCTAAAAAAAATTTAAGGAAATATAGTGGCTTTTTTTGAGACTTTGTGGTTTACATTTTTGCATGGGATTTTCCTTAATGTTTACACATGATTTTAGGGCCCTTTGGTTGTCTTCCAGACCACACTTCCAGTTCCAAGGGCTATATATTCGGATTTTTGTTGTTGCCACTTGCTACTTTGAGATCTTTGATTGACCATATTATATTTCTTTCCAATTAATCCTCAAGTTTTATTATAGTTTGCTTCACCCATCTGTCATAGTTTTATTATTGCAGAGAAAAACTAATGAAAGTCAAATATCTACTTAAAAGCTAATTTCAAATGATCAATCGAAATGGCCATGAATCAGAAGTACAATGAAAACGTTAAGAGTGTGTTTTCAGTGGTACCTTGCGAAGGTAAGAAACTTGACGGGGTTATTAGCAATTAACTACTGTATTTTTTTATTCCACAAAGGGGTGGGGGAATGAATCAGTTTTAGAATATTCTTTTTGTTCATTCTATATATTCGGTGCAAAATCCTTCGGCAGAGGATCAGAATCTGAATGAACGAAGAAGATTGATCGCAAATAATGTAAGGAATTAGAAAGTGAGGAGTTAAATCACGGATTGAATGAGTAGTTATTTTAGTAATAAACTTTTACCTAAAGAATAATTTACAAGCATTCTCGTAAAGTTAAGAGTTCGATTTCACTACTCTTAATGATAAACGTCTTAAAAATATTGCTTCAGTCTCGACTCTTAAATTTTGATTGATGTTTTACCGTATTTCTTCAAACCATCTTTTCAACAAATTCAAAGATTTAATTCCTCCTTAAACTGATAGTTTTTTCATTAACTGATTGACAATGTGACCAAGACAAATAAAAAATAATGAAAAAACTCACAAAATAGCGGAGTTCATTTTCCCGGATTGTAACACTGATAATGGTTTATTTGTTACATAAAAGTATCACAATTAACTCCGAATTTAGTAAGAAATTAGGGATACTCCTTAGTATTAGTGCATTTCACTTAACTAGTTTTTGTGTTTTTATTAAGTTATGACTTGATTGAACAATTACTAAAAATTGGGGCCAAAGGAACAATTTGTGGGCTGCTGGATACAATTTTGCTGAGCTGGTCGAAAAAACACTCCCAAGACACAAAGCACCTTGACATTAATGAGTGTATCTCTCCTTAGAATTCCAAAGACATGCTTGTCTCCTTGGCCGAATTTCCAACCACCCATGCTGATCAATGAGGTGGCTGCTGCCACTGCTGGAAGAAGAGAAGAAGACCAGTCAATTTCAGATTCCAGACACAAGGCCTAGGAAGGATTAAACAATTCACAAGCATGGGGAGGCTCTCTTGTTGAAGAACCGGCTTCAGGGCTCTATAAAAGGGGAGCTGCACTCTCAGAAATGGGCATCTCTGGCTACACCTTTCAGTTGCCAAGAACACATAGAAAAACTCCAGAAGAAGGCAAGAAGGAAGAAGGAACAGCAACAACTCATTAAGAAAGCCAAGTTGAAGAACAACCATCCCAGTCACTGCCTCACTTTCATGAGTGAACTCTTTCACTCTTAGGAGTGGTTCAGAACTGCACAAGCTTTTTTTTCGTCTTTTGACTGTTAGCTTGAACTTCGTTTTATGATGCATACTTCTATGATGTCTTTTGATGTAGTAGATGTAGCATTAATCTGCATGAGTAGCTAAGTAGCTTACAGGGGTTAATCTCCTCAACCTATGTTGGAGTTGTTGTAATGCACTGGTTCTGTTCTTGTTTTGAAGTTGAAAGTTTTTTCTACATTCATTTACTTGATCACTAAATTGAATGCATGTTAGAACTAAGAGAGATCTGGAAAGATAAACTTGGTTTGGATTGTTTCAACTTCAACTTATGACATAGAGGTAACAGTCTATGGTTTTAACTAAGATATGAATATACTTAGTTGACATGAGCATCCATGTAAGCCTGAGATCTTAATGACTTTATAACTGGAATCAATCATTGGAAAATAGGTTGTTAAGGTTGCAAAGATGACTCTAGGAAAAATGGGAACTGACTTAGAGTCATAATTGAGCTGAATGAACAAGAACTTAACCATTACAGTGCTGATTATACAATTACTGCATTAGGAAGAGAAGATGAACACCCTTGGCTTTTATTCCCCTGAGTGACTGTTTCCATTCCCCTGAGTGACACCTTGTCTAAACTGGTAGTCTTTTAACAACGAATTTGGTAATTATCTGTCCTCGTGGGATCGACCTAGCTTCCATTATCTACAAAAATCACAATCCAAGCTAGTAATATTTTTTGGTGAACTCGGCACGCACCAGAAAGTGGCACCGTTACCGGGAACGGTATAAAACCTCCAAAATTTTTTGTTTTCATTCATTTGTAAATATATAAAATTCTTCTCTGATTACCTCACTAAGCTTTCAGTTTTTTTTCTTTGGTGTATGACTAGAAGGCACCAACAAAGTGAACCAGTTTTTGGTCCAGAAATTGAAGCTACTATACGCAAAGTCAGAGCAGCAAAAAGAAGGTCATATGCTCATAATTTTCCTATTTTTAATATCGCTTTATGTGAAATTTTGCCAATATTTTGAGTACAAATGTACTATTTATGTGATTTTGTATTTGATTGTAGGAATTGTACTCAAATGGAGGAATTGTTGTAATTTTAGGCCTAAATGAAGATTGTAAGAACTAATGAGAAAGAAATCGCAAGAATTTTAACCTCAATTTTAATTGGAAAATAATCTTTCTTATTCCTAAAGAAATAGGATTTGACGAAAGCCTATAAAAAGAGAGAGACTTAACCAAAAAAAAAAAAAAAAACCACCACCTTTACCCAACTCCTCCACCGACCCCCTCTTCTCCCCATCTCCACACACCAACTTAATCATCATCACACCATCAGCCCCGACGCAAAGCCCCTTCACCCAACCAAAACCACGCCCAAAACTCACCTTCCACGCACCGAACCAAACTAGCAGCCTCCATTCCCGCACATCATCACCATTTAATCCCATCATCACACCATCAGCCCCCCAAGCTTTCTCACGCACAAAACTCCCACGCCTCCATCATCCATCACAACCCCACGCCATCAGCACCATCACCATCTACGCGCATCATCGGAGGAGGAAGCAAGCAACTTCGAACTCAACTTTTGGCCTTCTTCTACCGGGTTTCATTGTTTTATTTATTTTTGAGATGATGTGTAGCTAAATTATTTAATCTAGGGTTTTGGATGTAGCCGCCGTACTATTTAATTTAATTTAATTTATGATTGTGACTTTTTCATTAGTTGATATTTAATATTCTTGCGTTTATTCCATGTGAGTATTTGATCACCATTTGCATGCTTTAAAGGTGTTTAACTGAAGGAACGACGGTTGAAGGTTAGCACTAGTTCATGGGAATATTAAACTTAGATAGTGGGCCACGAAAGTAGGAACACCGCCTTTGCAGCTAGAGATTCTAAAGTTCTTAGTGTGCTTTTATTAATCCCTATAGTCACGACAGTAGTCATAGGGTTAGTTTAAGTAAGAGAATTATATCACGACAGTGAATATTTCTTAAATAGGTAAATCATTGTGAAATTAATGAAAGTCCAAAGTCACATATCTATAAGTTTAGTTAAACTGAGTAGTCGGTAGGTGAATCCTTTGCCCTAGGTTTTCTTTTATTTGTGTAAAATCTTAAATTAATTGTAATTGTTAGTTTTAGTTTTAGATTAGTTTAAATTGATAAATTGTTAATCTAAATAATAATAAGAAATAATTTTAACCGATACTTGGTAACCTTCTCTGTGGGATCGACCCTACTTTCTGCTTTACTGCTAGTAATTGTATTAAGTAGGTAATTAATATTTGACTAGTGTGACGACGGCTTGTCAGAAGGCAGAATCGGTTGCAACAGAACCGCCAAGAAGGTCCATCAGAAATGGCTAACCAAGGTGGTAACCTGGAGAACAATAGGAACCCTAGTGGGGATCAACAAAATCGACCAGAGAGATTGTTTAGAGATTTCTTTATTCCACAACAAGAAGAAGTCCAATCCCCTTTAGTGTTCCCCGATGTAGGGACAACCAATTTTGAGTTAAAACCACAGATGATCCAATGGACTCAGTCAGCCTGCCCGTTCCATGGGTTACCTCATGAAGATCCTAATGATCATACCGGAAGTTTCTTGCGTTTATGCAGTACTTTTAAGATTCAAGGCTTATCCAATGATGACATTAGACTGATGTTATTCCCTTTCACCTTGCAGGATCACGCCCAAGCATGGTTCAATACATTGCCCAACAATTCTATCTCCACTTGGGAAGAGTTAAGACAATGTTTCCTTACAAAATTCTTTCCACCCGCAAAAGCTGCACAACTCAGAACAGCAATAATGAATTTCAAGCAGCATGGAATTGAAACACTCTATGAAGCATGGGAAAGACTGAAGGAAATGATTAGGAAATGCCCTCAGCATGGTTTGGAAGAGCATCTCCAACTGAGCATCTTCTACAATGGGTTGCTACCAACTACAAGAGACTCCCTTGATGCTGCAGCTGGTGGTTTGTTTATGATGAAGCCGGTTGATGCAGCAAGGGAGTTGCCTGACAATATGACCACCAACCATTCAAGGTGGCAATCTGATCCAAGGGCAAGTACAAAACAGTCAGGAGTGATGGAACTTGACCCCAGTACACACTTGCAAGCACAAATGGCTGTTATGATGAATGAAATGACAAAACTCAGGAGTGAACTATCCAAATCCAAGGCTGAAGTGTGTGTGTTATGTGATGGATCCCACAATTTGGATGACTGTCCCTCC